GCTCTTAAATTATGGATATAGCTTAAAAATTAACGTAATCGCCATCTTTTTTGCCACGGACTACATTTTAACACGGAAAAAGTTGTGTAATTTTCAGGTTAATACCATGCACTGAATTTGCGTGAAAAGGTATGCACACTATACTTAAGTATTCTTTACTCTAGACAACCAGGTTTTACAAAAGAAAAAAAAAACTATCAATTATTTATTATTTGTTAACGTTATATACAAAACATTTAACTCTTAATTTATAATTTCCCGAATGGACTATACGCTCGCGCTCAGGGAAAGTGCTTATATCTGAACAAAATGAAGTGTTATCAATTAATTGTTGATAATTGCAACTGTTCACAATAGATGTAGATATAATTCGGAGTTTAAAAATAGTTTATAGTAGTTAACTTTAATCAATTTATCAACCGATTTAATACCAGGTATAGTGACCAATTTGCCGATGGACCTAAATCATCACCCCCTAGGCTGTCCTTGAATTGGACGGATAATAGATGACTAACTACTCTCTGGACGCTAGTTTGTATATTAACATGACGGTTATACAGCAATGTATAGAGGTCGTTGTAGTTCATTACGTATATTGACATCTAAGGTTCTAAAATAACAAAAACCACAACCGATTATATTTAATTTTAAGTATTTTGTAGTCAATTTGCGGTTCTTTGTGGTTATACAATACTTAAATGTGACGTTGTCAACAACTCTCGTTTTAATCGGGTGGCGTTGATCAGATCGTCGGTATCCATTTTAGTTTACAAAAATACGTAACGAACGCAAGTGTTTGACGGCCTCTAACATCGAAATTCTCCGCTAACACGGGCAGAGGCTTGTGCGTTTTATGTTTTAAGCAAAGCAAGGGGTACAGTCTAAGAACTAATTAACTGAACTAAACAAATTTAAGTTACCGGGATGTAACGCGTAACCCTTTGTAGTCCATATCTATCGACTGGGCCACCGACTATAATCTAACGAGATATGGCAGTTGTATTTTACAGAAAACCAATTCGTAATTTTTTAATACAGCAAGGTGTATTGACTAGCGATGACACGATCACTAGATCATAGGTTTAAATTGAAACCCCGACTACATAATTTTAAAGTGGAACTACTTAGTAAAACTCACACTGCTCATTCCTAAAACTATCACAGAGAAGTAAGGTACAGAGGTAACATTTAACTGTGCACTTAAGTGGTGTCTAGCACCAGTCACTGGTGTCTAAGGTAATGTCTAACACCGCCCCCTGGATCCCATGGAATACGAAGCGTATGTACATGAAATATGTTTTGCGATAGGAATTTCCGCAAAGTGCTCGCAGCTCGGGCTCTTTCTTGCTCATCAAAAGTGTATTTTCCGCACAACATACAACAGTTAAAAGCGCGTTGTGCCATAAGCATGTTTCCTCTGTACCTTATTTCCTCTTGTAACTACCAAATCAAATGAGAACACCATTTGCTGTTCCGTACACCTTAAACACCTTAGACGGAGAAGGTAATTAAGCAATTCGATTACTTAAATTCAAGTCGCAGTAATATTATTCATCATATGGTGTAGTGTGTCAAATATAATTCTACACGATAATATAAAAATGAAAAACATATCACATATGGTATGTGAGGTGTGTGATACCTCACGTTGGGAAACACAATGGGTTTTGAGGAACACAATCGGTTTTGAGGTATTCCACAATAACACCTTGACTATTTCTCCTGGACTTCACTTTCATACAGAACGTTTTGTGAGGTAGAAAACTTACTAACTTTAATTCCATTTTTGTTGTTTATTGCCTCCTGATCACAATATATAAATTTACTAGCTGTACCCTCGGGCTTTGCCCCGTTTAACTTCATAAGTATTCGCATGGCTCAATCACGTCCTGGTTGAAGTTCGTTCGCTACGCTCACTCACCTTTAGGTTGGAGCTCGTTCGCTGTGCTCACTTGCCTTCAGGTTAGGTCGTTCGCTACGCTAACTCGCCTCCAGGTTGAAGTTCGTTCGCTACGCTCACTCACCTTTTGGTTGCAAATTAGCTGTTGTCATAAATTAAGAAAAAAAAAATGATAGTGCTGCACCCTGTTGGTAATCCTTGTAACTTTAATGCTATTGAACATCATAGAATAGAACTAACTTGTTTAATTGAAACAGCTGTTAAGATTCATTAATTCCTTTTAAATATGAAAAATCATAAGGTTAACATGGGAAACTCCAGAGCCACTGGGGCGGAGCCCGAGAGTCCGATCAGAATAAAAACTACTTAGTTTTCCTATTTAATGCCTAAAGAATCAGTGTACCAAATTTCAGCCTCCTAGGTAAATGGGAAGTGGGAGAATTAATGATGAGTGAGTCAGTGAGTCAATGAGTCAGTGAGGGCTTTGCCTTTTATATATTTAGATTACTAGAGGTTAAAATACCTTATAATCCGTCAGTGTGATCAAAAAGTCACCGATGAAAGGCGACCGGTTTCAACCCATCAAAGGGGGCATCATCAGGCGTTGAATGGACACATAATTACTCCGAAAAGGTCGTCATAAAGTCAATAAATACAAAACGAAAAACAGTTAAAACCCTTAAACACATTTTTACAAAAACACGTGTGGCCACAAATTGACTGCACGGCGGACGGTGTGTGCTCATTGGTCTTGTAACTCAATGTGCACATACATGGAATAAAAAAAGTGGGTTGAGATTGAGATTGATTGTGTCATACGAGTATGAGCTTTAAGATTTTAAAGTATGTTATATTATAGCTTTTAGTTTTAAAATTTTACGAAAACTTTTCTTTGTTATGATATTTCTAACACAGCATACTTCGTGTACAAAATTGTTAGACATTGAATGTTTTTAGGTACTAGAATTAATTCAATTACGCGTTCTCTAATTATGATTCATAAGAAAGGAAACTGAAATGAAGAAAACATTTTAAAATTAATATGACACATTTCTTAATTCACAAAAATATTACTGTTTCAATATATTTATAAACATAAATAATGTTCCCAGTTAAAAGCATATAGTTAAAGATTTTAAAGTGTGAATTATACACGTAAGTATTTAATATTGACGCATAAATAATATAATTTGTTAAATAAAACGAAGATTCCAGAAACTTAACCTTATTGTAGTATTGACTGAAAATGAAAATGATACTTTGACTACTAAAGGATTAAAGATTTGATTTAAGACTTGTTATTATTGAATGAGTTCAATCAAGCGACGAATGCACCTTTATTGGAATTTCATTCCGATTAAAAGAAATGAGATCCGCGGGGAATTAAGGTTTACCATTTATCTAAATATTAAAAAATTCATATATAAAAATTATGTATGATACTTTTTTTACTCGAGTGATACTTTTGATAGCTTATAGTTACTGATCTCCAAAAGCATTTATAATATGTGATCAAAGACGTAGAAATTGAACTGTTTATGATATGAAAAAAAATTACGTGAATAATCGGTTAAGTGAAAACGTGTTGTCTATAAAATACAATAATACTTGTGCAAAATTTATAAGGGCGATTGGGACCTTGGATCAGGTTTGTACTAAGTGCTCCAATTCTACAAGTTAAGGAGTTTTAAGTGCTAAGTTAAGTCGTGGTTCCTAATTTGGTAGTTAAAATTTATACCACTATGTTGAAAATAACTTCTTGACCTAATGTATATTGGAGATATTTATAGTATAAGTGTGTGTATGTTGAAAAGTGTTGAGAGATGGTATATTATAAAATCTGAGCACAATGTTTACTAAGTGTAACTAGAATGAAAAAAAAAACACTCATTCACACAATAAAAATTTTAAAAAATGAGACTAACCATCCATAAAATGAGCAAAAATTTGTTATTTTTTTATATACATTTTTTCTTTAATATAGTCAAAACTCGTAAATAAGGTGGAGAATAATCTTACTATTTTACATTTAAGTAAACTGTGGTAGTTATTCGAAATATTGCAATTGACTCATAAAAATATATAAATAAAACATTAGATTTAAGAGGAAATATTTATTCTAAAAATAAAGCATTTAGTTATTTAGTTATCATAAGGTTGATTAAAATCCAATTGTTAAATTGTATCTAACTGATATTAACTTAGTAAGAATATAATTATCTATGTCAAGACACAAGTTTAAAAGAAACCAAAACAACAAGTAACATAAACAACAACGAAAAATATAAGTAAAATTTTTTTTCAAAAGGAAACAGTTAAACCAAGAAAATCCAAATATTTAAAGTTGAATCTAGCTAAAGCAGTAGCATATCGCGAAAACTTCAATTAAAGTTATCAGATGAAACAATACCAGAGAAATGGAGCTTTTGCTTTAATGTGATTACTGCAAGCCTCATTGCATTTTACATTTCATTACTTTACTAACCGGAGTGGTATGTGTGATTACATTATTGCATATTCTTTGAAGTAGTATTACTCGGAATACATTATATCGGATTGATCTATTTATTCACTAATGTATAAACAAATGAAAAAATTGCACAAAACATTTGTTAAAGGACGGGAATTATTATCAAAAACCAAAACTAAGATTTTACTGGATTTTGATTAGCTGAAAATTGAGCTGAGTTTAGTGCTAGAGTTTAAATTATGCACCTCTGCTATTTTGCTAACAGTTAAGTAACTTTACTCCTGTAAGTTCCGCACTTGGAGAAACTCTGATACGTAAAAAAGCTAGTGTTTTTAGACAACCCCAATAACTATAAGCGCAGTATTAGACAGAATGACCTGTAACCTGTGACCTGTGTTTGTGCCTCTGCAATAGAACATTGAGTAAGGGAAAAGGCATTTACATACTTTGAACCACGAACTACTTTGTTACTTATTTTTAAGAAAATTCAGTTACTCAAGATTCTTGAATTTACAAGACTCTTTTAAACATATTAAACTGTAGATTTTTTATGATTTTTAAGTGTTTGCACGCAAATCAGCGTTGATTTTATAAAAGTTTGTTAAATATTGTAATTTTTCGTAAAACTGACCTGTGCTCATCTTTGGGGCTGGGGATGAATTTGACGCATTCTCGCTTCTGGAAGGTGGCCTCTATCCAGCTGCGGGCGGCCAACTGCAACAGAATAATGATAAATTAGCAACACAACTATAAACAATCAACAAAACAAGAATATCACTGACGTTCAATCAATCAACACTACCTCTTAGCTTAGAACATCATTAGCGAAGTAATCGTTGTATTGCTCATGAAATATATTGCGGTTCGATCAGCCCAGGTTGTTAATTTAAGTGATCAATAACAAGTATACTCCTGTTCATAGTAATATTAGAACATATACAGTCAATATACAATTAGAGCAATCAGAACAACATTGAAAAACTCATGAAACTTCTAGGGGTTTTTAAAAGGTTAGCGGCCCTGTTTACCCTGCATTTTCTTATCCACATGAGACTCGGGGCTGTGAATATAAGTATCAAGTAAATTAAAACGTGAGTTAGTACAGAACATAAATACACTGTACTGATAAAATATTGAATTACGATCCCTGATATCGGCTAGTAGTTTTGCGTTTCAACCCATAAACTTGAACTTATTTAATTCAAGATGGTACAATCAATGAAAAGTGTTATTGACGAAAATGCACATGGAAAATTAGAAACCAGAGAAACAATACTGGATTTAATCATTTCAGTCTCGCGTGGGCAAGCTGATCCAATTTTGATATTCAATTGGCCGTTCCACCCTCGGTCTAGCGACAGAAACATATCTCAAAGCTGGCGTGTCTGTGGATGGAAATGTGATTCGATTCAAACACGACTCTTCAATCAGAAATAAATCCTCACATTCAAACATAACTTGGATTCTTCTGTACATTTTGCGCTAGCATTTAAAATTCCATCGTGCTTGTAACCCAATCAGTGGACCGAAGATTCATTTTGGCGTAGGTTCTATAGTTTTTTTTTTATTTAGTCAATTAGTAAAATAAATAATAATTATTAGCCAATAATGAAATCAAGTAACACAAAATATCACTGAGGTTAGATATATCTGAGGTAAAATAGAATTTTATCAGCTCGTGCGCTATATACTCATATAAAAAAAAAAAAACAACCATTTAATTTAACAAATGGTTCTCAAGTGTGGAAATACGGGGAGTCCCAAAAAGAATGGATAAAAAAGTAAACTGGCATAAAACCATTATTCTTAAAGATAAAAAGTTAACTTTATATACAATTTTTCCATAACTCCCTATCCTTACGTTTTTCCTACCTTGGTTTCACCACCCAACCTCCATATGTTCTCCGTAATTTGCTCGAAGAAGAACAAGTCGGTGTTCCAGCTCTGACCACACATTGTGGCGCATTTTACATTTTATTTCAAAGGCTTCCATAACCTTCATCTTTTTTTAAGTTTAGCTACGTTTGAGATCGGCTAGCGATACACTTGATTGTTCACAAACCCCCAGGCCAAAAATATCACTCCGCAGATTTTGTTTCTATAAACCATTTAATGTGCTTTCTACTGCATCTCCATAACTGTATTATTTTGAAAATTGAAACGCACCGACAACTATGGAACAGCTTATTACTATTGAAGGTTACTAAAAAAACTTAAAGATGCCAGCTTTAAATTGATTCATAGTTGACTTTCCTACGAACCTTGGCAGCACGTATATTAAACTGTAGATTTGATCCATTCTTTTTTGACACGGTGTACTTTTTGTAACGAATGCAATTGATATTTGGTTGTTCCATGTGTAACTAAAACTTTTGATTAATCCCATTCCATCAAGACCATGTTGGTTTATGCAACAGAGACTTTGAGATGTTCCGCCTACCCACAAACCTCAGCGGCGTGTGAGACACACACGAGATGACGTCACTGTTTTAGATAAATAAGACACACACAACAAACAGGTTAGGCGAAATACTATTAAAACTCATGATGGTTTGTTAACAGTGTTCAAATTAGTGTTTAAAGACCTTTGTATTATAGAAATATTCACCTATTTTAAGTAATTCTGTAATTCTGTCTTAACATTTTGGCTGAGGATATAATTTTACTAAGTGATTCACAGAGGTAATGTAGACAAACTAGAAATAACAACAAAACTATTTAAGCTCTTTAAGGTTTTTGAGGTATGTATATTATCAGCTTCACAGCTGATGAAGCTGTGTATGAATCCATGGAGGTGTGGGGGGTGTGGAGGAATGAATGGAACGTGTAGACATGCAACTGACTATAATCAGTAGGATTCTTTAGCTAGGGCAATTTATAAAATACTAATTAACAAAGAAAGGTAGGCCCTGTTTTTAACTCGTAAAAAAGCTACTGCGTCTCTCAGTATCGGGCTTGCAACCCTTTGATTGCTATGCGAGCGCTACAACCATTGATTTCCCCAGCTATACAATCGATAAAGCTTAATATCTGTTACGTATAAAGAGTCATGTGTCTATAAAATCATACATTCTATTCTGGGAAGACGTGTGAGAGAAAAGCAAAGATAAAGTAAACTAAAGTTAAGAAAGTGACAAACATTTACGAGTAAACTTGAATGTCAGCTAGACTAATGACATTGAATATGTCAACGTGCCTTTCACTCCAGGTGTCTTAGATTTTAACACTCTAACTATTACGGGTAAAAAGATTTGTTTAAAATATTTTAAAGGTTAGGGGTTTTATAAGGTATATACGTGACAGGGGTTTGGTTATTTCAAGATTATGAATCAACAACTTGACGGATTTTCATGATTTTTGTGTTGACAGAAAGACAATTTTAAAACGAAAGAAACATCAAAGCCAAAACTTGTATTTTAAGTGTGTGTTAGTAAGTTGTTAGATTGACTATCAACGCACTATTTTATTTCATTTTAAACGCCAAAATCATTTTTTGTCATACATTTGTCACATGTATTTTGCCTTACCGAGCTATAAATGTTTAACTTGTGAAAAAAAAAAAACAGAATACAAAATATAAATAGTCTAATAAATCATTTATTGAGAGCTCAACCATGAATTCAGTGTTGAATCAGGAAAAAAATGAAGTAATTATTGACAACTTACAACTCCTATAGTAACCAGAAGGTTATAAAATAGAAATCTATAACTTATCACATCAGAGTGAAACAATGAAAAACTTATTAACCAAGTTTGGCTGGTAAACCATTGTTGACATGGTTCTTGTCAACATGTGGTAATCCTTCACTACAGTATTAAGGCTTCACTAAGGTCGTGTTAGCTTGGCCAACTTGTGTCGCATCTACAAGCTCCTTAAGGATAACTTTAGACCATTTATATTCATTGCTTGGTATCCACTTTCAATATTCATTATTGCCTTACACGGTGAACAGTCTTAATTAGTTTCTAATGGTAGCACAAGAACTATTTTATTTGAAGAAAATTGATTTTTTATGATTAATCAGTGGTTAATATGTTGAGAGCCAGCATTCATTTTCCAGTAGGAATGTTAAAACTGAATAATGTATTTCCGATTTGATATTTATTTGTAACTTATTTCTTATTTCCTTTAAATAATAGTTTCCGAAACACTACTAGGGACATATTTAAGTTGTTCACCCTATAGACTTAGATCTTATTCATGCATTCGAAAAACAAAAATGTGATCGATTTATTCCTTTTTAGAATGTATTAATACAAATTATGAATAAACCAATGCATTCAAGTGTTGCCAGTAACAAAGATCTAAACTCTAAATCTAAAGATCTGAATCCTAAAAAGTACGATCAAAACATTTTTTTTTGCGTTAATCATTTCGTAGATTATGCTGTAAAATAATACATGTTTTAATACCTTTAGACCACACAATGAAATTAAGAAAACTATTTTTTTTTTACAGAATACGAGCTGGTCAATATCACAAGGGTTTAAAGCCTTGATAGAGGATGGAATTCAACAGATCTGTTATGAATAAAACCTTATTTTAAAATTGTTGAAAACGAGGGAAAGATTAGATGAGGTAAAAAGGGAGGTTGGCACACCTTAGCACAGTTGTTTCAGGATCTTTATCTCTTGGTGGTATATATGTTTAAAAACAAAATATCCTAATGAAAATTAAACTTCTCGTTCAAAGTCACACGTGATGCATTTTTGTTAACAAATACCGGTCCAATAAAATATTTTAAGATAAAAACATTTGGTAAATAAACCTAAAGAGAAAAAAATATTGAACTATCTAAATAGAGCTAATAAAGGCTAACAGTGGCCATGAAAAGCGCATATTGATATTATACAATTAGATTTAACAATATAATTGATTGAGTACAATATAATTAATTAATTAGTTATAGCTACAGTCAGAGCTGCTCAAGATAAGAAAACTAGTCCTATTATTTTATAAATAACGGCAATGCCACAGTAGGTTTAAAAAAATATACGTAGTTAAATATTTTAACTAACTTTATGATTAGGAAACATGATGTGAGGACCCATTTAGACAAATGTGTATAAATGGGTTTTATTAAAAACTTCTGCAAGATAATTTACTGAGCAATTGCTGTTTAAATGGCTTATAATGAATAGTAATGATAATAATGTATATTATATTTTAATTAAAGAAAATACTATAAATAAAGAATTTTTTGATTAAAAGATACGAAAGAATTATTGTTCTTATTGGCAGATGCTGTAAAATGATTGCACTGAAAGCACGGCTAATGTTATTATAATAAAATACACGAGACATATTTTAATACTTTTGTTAATTTAAATTTTATTAAAGTGAATGTGTCCTACAAGTACTTATCATTATTATATCTAAGTAATCGAACACAATTACTATTGTGGTGAGTGCACCAATAGCCTGTTAAAACCAGCTGGAAAATGATTAGTTTTAAATTGTATAAATTTGTTTTTTGTTTATTCTAATACTAGCAGAGTAGATACCCGTCCTTCGTACGGGGTTGGCGTATAAGTATAAAATGCTTATTGCAGTTATACTCAAGCTTTGCATTTGCAATGAGGGAGGACATAGTTTGATAAAATTTGCATCTTTAAATTTAATTTATAATATTCTATAGTAATAAACATCTACCATAGCCATAATGTTCTATAACTTCCCCTAAACAAACAAAAAAATAATCGAAAATTCGCAA